AACGATGTCCAATTGCCTTCAGTGGCGGGATCACTGTATTTCCTTATAAATGAAAAAAAATAGCTAAAATTACAGCGTGAGGAGCAGAGGCTAATAAACCTGCTACAGCGCCTACAAACTTTCATTTCGAACATAAGCAACACAGCACTGTCGGAGAAGTTGCCGCTGTATCGCGGCGAAATCAATCGCCTAAAAACTGCACTGCGTCTGCTCCTCACCTTGTACGTTTGTCGGGCTGTTAAAATTCAAGCAGTTTCTGCATGCGCTAAGTCTAATCATCGTCTGCATCCAATCCTGGTACTAGAACCTTAAGATACAACACTGTCTGGCACTGGACAATATAATGAGCTATTTCCCCTCCTCATAAGGTATTACTATAAGATTCATATTAATATTATCCTGTCATCTTATTCTATGTCTTTCACGTTACCATTTACTTAAAGAGTTCTCGGCAAAACTCTGTATGCAATTCTCATTTTCGCCACACTCAGTTCATTCAATGTTGCTTCCTGGACGTCAATATCTTATGATACCAGGTGACGTACAAATTGATAGGATTTGAGATTTTCAAGGCGGTTTAGTACGATTATAGCACCGTGTAGTCTACACGGCACTACAACCCAGAACACAGCCATCGACGTACAAACTGTTCACTTTCTTTATCCTTCTTTTAAAAAAACATTTTGGTGACTACTTTGTTTTCAGACATTTGTAATTTGTTATTTTTTCGATTGAGTGACCACAGATGTCTGTAACATACGTTAGATTTATGAACAAAAATCTCTGGCTACGTATTTTAATTAGGATATGTTTATTTATGCTTGCTCTGATTAATATTTATAACATATGTCACGTAAAGGAATCGATGATCAATGCAATGCAGAAACATATATTGAAGTTTAAGAGATGTGTAAAGAGTTTGTGACATAAAGGCGTAACACGTGGTCAAATGCATGAAAGCACAAACAGTGCGACACGACAGGCAGAGGGCATGGCTCCTTCACTTATTTGAAACATACACGCTTGGAAATGCCTAATGTGTGTCCTTTTCTAAAGAATTAACAAAGCATGGCGAGTTTGAGCACCAGTTTTGAGTAATAATCTCAGTTTAAATAATGTTAATCCAATCGACAAACATTAAGCTATATATCTGTGAGAATCCTAGTGTTACGGGCGCGTCGGAGTATGAATGTGAGACGTTAATTCTTTTAAATTTCAAATCACGTATACATATATATTCCACCGGATTGTATTATTTACTTTTATTGCAAACACTTGGACTCACTGAAATGCGATATCCCAAATGTCAAAGACCCTTTGAGGTAATTTAAAAAATGATAAACCACCAGAATAAAATGTATTTATTTATGTCGCTTACTGTCGTCCTCATATTGTTCCCTTCTTTTGTCACCTCTTGCCCTTTTATCTTGCTGTTATCCTCTCCTCCTGCTTAATTTTAAGATTGTCAGAGTTAATCCGATAGAGGACGTAAAACAGCTGATCATTAAAATACACACGTGAATTAATAGGCTTTTAAATCTATGTGAGTGCTTCTCCTCCTTTGTGTTGTTCGTCATGGAGTTTAATATTAAAGGATTAGCAATTAGCGCAATTGCAAGGAAGCAAATGGTTTTTTAGTTACTAATTTTATGGTCTGGGCGCGTACTATTACCAGTAACGAGGGCTAGAACACTTTCACCTTATGATGTTCACTGACTGGCTCTTGTTTCCAGTGCAATGATGCAAGAACTCTGCCATCAAACGACTAATTTGCTTCCAGTCTCCTATAAAACTACAGGTTAATCGAAAAGTCACTCAACCCGTTCCTGACACATGTTCCATTTGTCTCAAAATAAATTGCATTGAAATCATAAAACTAAAACACGGTGTCATACAAAATGTTAGAAATTTTCATAGCGTTCAGCGATGCATGCATTTTTTTTCCTCATGTTTTATGCAATCCGGTGAAGAGTTTCTGTCACGGAAACGGTTCGGTAAACGACATACTGTCGATTTGTGAGGCACGGGAGAACTGCAAAATGTATTCCCAAACTCATTCCGGCAAAGTTAATTAAGAATGAGATTCCAATTAGTTCTCGACAAAGAATACTAATTTCTCGTGTGAAAAAGACATCCTTGCACGTCGACTGTTTGACGAAAACTGGCGGGCTGGCGCGAGCAGGTTACATGTAACCTGCGTGAGCTATTGTATAGTCGCAGCGGTTTTCGTATACTAACCCAATCGAATTTTATTCGATTGGAACAATCAGTAACTATTTTTATATGGGATGCGTGACTCTTCGATCGCTCTGAAAAATAACAATTCTTATCGCGCAATTAACTATAAGTTCCGAGACGAAATCGCGAAACCTGCTACCCTTAAATGCTTCAATTAATATGGTAAGACTATCAGGAACTACAAATTAATAATCATGCAATTTACAGGTACACTTCTGTGTATAATTTCCTCTAGTACCAATTCCGACTATGTTACTTTTATTAGGTATAAATAATCTCAAATATTTTTAGTCTCTGTGTTGAAGTTGTTAAAATATCAAAATATGGTCATGTATAATTTGATTTGTCTATGTCCACGATATGTATCTACACAATATTTCGCTCGATTAGCTCCAGTGCCTCATCAGTTACGGCCTTAAAATTTAAAGTCGCCTAGCCCTATAGATATGACGCCATACTGCTTTGCTTTCTAGCTTATTTTCGAAGACTTATATTGCTTTGCATTAGATGGCGCTAGTGTCATTCCAGCCTCTGATGTTTTCACGGCCACCGTACTGATATTACTGACGGTAATAAATTTAGAAATAAGAGAGGCCAACCCTAGTGATATAGCGTCTATACCTAATTTAATATACATTAATTTCATACACATTAATGTTGATGACAGTGTTATGTTAACTAATTAATTTTTCCAGGCCCCGTCCATCGTAATATGATTACAATATCGAGTCACATTTCATTCTTCAGGCGTCATAACGGGGAGCACCTGTTTATTATATCCAAAGTTCGAGAGCAACTCGGTCTACATGATCCAACTGAACAGATGCCCTCCCCTTTAACACATCAAGTTAAAATAAGTCCACCCTTCGATAAGTTGTAATTTGATGTTATAATAAATTGATGAATAATACCCTAGAATCTGCCTTAAAAAAATAAGGAAAAGCACGGAAAACCTCGGCCAGGATAGTCGAAGTGTCAGACACTAATCACTGTGTCGACCTGGCGCTTAAATTAGGGCTAGCCCGGGTCTCTGAATGCGTTTCGCAGTCTAAGCAAACAGCACTGCGGTGATCTATCAGACGTCGATAGCAACCCTCCAATCCCGTAGCCAGTATTCAAGTCAGTCAATATCAGTCAGCAAGTAACTGAAGAGAAACGATGATTGACGGGACGTGGCTACGACAGCCCTGTAGGCGTGTTGTTTATATAAAGGCTAAATAGAACAGGGGTGAGAAGTTCACCCTCAGCTACACCAGACTGCGTATTAAGACATGTAAGTGTATCTGAGTGGATAGACGCGTGGTTCGCTCAAAAGCGAACAAATGAGTGTGTGGTTTTTCAGGACTAAGACTGGAACATTATAATAGTTAACTTTAAAATGAGGCCTTTGACGCACAAGGTATCGAAGGCTTTAGACACATCTAAGAAAACCACACTGTTAGCTTCTTCTAGTAAAGGTTTCTGTTGACTCATTCAATAAGACGGACCATCTGCAACGTCGTGTAAGATTTGATCGAACCCAAACTTCTCGGAGGGCCCAAGGAAGTATGATCTTCTCGGAGAGGTTGCCAATATCGTCAAGAAAGCTAATGGGTCTATCGGAAGAATCGTAGGATCCTTTCCCGGCTTCAGTACGGATACCAAGTCAGCGTGTTTACATGCTGGTGGAAGTACCGCCTGCGGAGGATTGAGTAAAACATTTTCGTGAGATAGGTTATCGAGTTCTTTGGTAGATGCCTCAGGGACCTGTTAGGAATGCCCTTCAATTCCGGAGACTTGCCAGCCTTGAATCTCCAGTACAGAATACTTTGACATTCTTCTACGTGTATACCTGCTCAGAACCATCAAAACTCGTGGTAAATAGTACCTGGTGGTCGCAGTCAAGCGTCTGCCTTGCATAGCCTTATTTTTCGATTGGTCTTTCACTGAAATGCTCGAGGATGTTTGACACTTTATATCATGCGTGGTTCACTTTGTATGACGTTCTGTACTTATGGTGTACCAGTTATACTGAACATCGGTTTCTTTCGAATCCCTAAGGAGAATGCTGAGATTCTTCCTCATAATCATCTTCTATTTCCAATGCCTAATAAACTCTGATTTTGTGTATTTGGTCGAGCGTCGTTACATAATGTCCTAGCCATTTGACTAGAGATGTTAACAATCACATTATGTCTTTGTCATCTAAAACGATTCCGGATATTTGAATTATGTGTATTTGTACTAAGCTTATTATGATACGAGATGTTTCGTAAGCAAAATTCAGCGGCAATTTCTCACCCAAGTCTCCTGATTAACTGCTAGATGGCTCTGGCAATCAAATCAGGATTGAGTAGGAATTGTGCAGTCAGTGGGCTGGTCACTCGCTACTCATAAATGCACACCAAGAAACCTCCGAAAAAGGAGGCGGCGAAAACCCACAACCGGGTTGTAGAGCCAGGAAACAACAACTAAGCTTATTGATACTGGACTTTCCTCTGTGAGTGCAATCCGTCCCTCGACACGTCTAGGCGTTCATTTTCTGTTTACACTCCAACGACTTACTCTTCACACTATGACCTTTCCAGGAAACCGCTTAGTGTATACACGTTATTCTGAAGTATATTTATTTTTCCTCAAATCAACTTTCAACACAATACATCATTGTAAAGCACAATAAGACGGAAACTGTGGTGCAGTGTTGAATTCTTAATTATACAAATCTTCAATTAATCCTGTGTTATTCATGGTGTATGATAACAAAATACAGAGAAACAACTTACCGCATAAAGAAGTAATGGAACTGCTTTCTTCGTGGACAAATTTCCGGGTCACTGCTTCTTCCATTATTTGTTTTACCTATGAAATAAATACGATTATATTATAAAAATGTAATACAGGAACAGTTTACAGTGACTGTGTTATGATTTATTAATGTGAATAAAACACGAGAAATGCCTTCAAAACTTTATTCGGAGAATCTGGAAAGAAACCACTTCTAAGAGCTGCGAGTAGACAGAAAGATAATATTAAAGATGACACACACGAACTGGATATGGTTCATGGCTGGCTACAGCATCCTAAACGCAATAACGATTTTTCGGGATTCATAAAAATCGTAAATGTTTGGCCAGCTGAGAGACTATGACTTTCTCAGGAAGGACTCTGTTCCATTAAATTACAAAATTGAAACACGTTCATGCAAGAGGAAAACATGAAGCGGAATGAGAACTCGAATGTGTATGAGTTCCTTTCGAAACTGAGGTACAATAAAATTGGTCAATATATTTCCTTTTCTGGAAAAAGAAAGTAAATTATCGTTATCATACTTCCGAAATTTCTTTTTTATATCCACCTGTAACGTTCTTTTTCTCAGGTCCAGATATTCTCCTACGCAGTGTGCTCTCAGTCAACCAGCAGTCATTATAATTAGAGTTCAAACTTCACGACTGTACAGGACAGGCAAAATTGTAAGTTTATTTATGTTTACCTTTAGTTTTCAAACAGAAGAAAATAAATTAACATTTCCTGTTACATTTTCATCCTTTTATAATAACATTTTCAGAACAACGCCTGTCTACTTCCAGAGCATTTTGAGACTCATATTCTGTCCATCTAAACTGCCTATCCATTTGACGTAGTTGTCGTTAAAAGGAATTTGATTAACTTTATAATGTAACATTTATTAAAGATAATAAATTATTCGCATTTTAAAAGATCTAAACATGTTTCTCAGTTTATAATCAAATCAAAAGTTTTAAACACACGTAACGTAATGGAAGTAAAAATTATAAGTGATTCTTTATCTTGAAACACAAAACGTGTCGCACATTACATACAAAATGTTTAATAAAAAACTTTTAATTGTACAATGGTCGAAGTTAAATCTAAAGTGTTATTATGGACTAAATACATGTCTGAAGTGTGGGTGGTGGCTTATATGAAGAGAATTATGGTGTGAGAACCTTTTTAACGCAGTCACATGAAAGAGAAAAAAGAGATAGAATGATTACAATAAATGGATATTAAGCAGTGCCTTGTGAGTTCTGAAAATACATCAGTCTTCAGTAGCGGGCACAGGTGTTAGTGGTTTTGAACCTTCGCTTTGCTTTACCTCAGACTGAGTAAGTTCATAACTTGATAAATATTCTGTTTATTTTAGAGGGCATCCGGTCTGTAAATAATCTGTCTATTATATGATACTGAGTGGACAGAACAAGAAAGATGAACATTAAAAATCAACTGTTACCCAATCTTGCATAAACACAGTTAACATATTGACTAACGCGTCTTATTAGGATTTACGGAGTGCAATGGTCAATTTATCAAATTACGTGATAAAAATGTTAAAATATTTGAATCAGTAGAGTACTTTAGTTTGTTGAAATTAAAGTTACGTTTTGAAACCGACAATTGGTACTAGAGGTTTTCGAGAAATTGATTAACACTTAAAGATTATTAAAAAGACAGCTCCGAAATCAAGCAAATTGTATTAATTTACTTGATAAATAAAATTAAGTTAATGGCATTTAATGAAGCCCTTTTTTGTAGTCATTAATCCTAGGATTGGTTTGCAGCCCCATTACGGGGCTGTTACTTGCGAAGATACCACGGTGGTTTCGCCTTGCCTTCCGTCCTTCATCCATCAAACTCGAAGAGAAAGGACGCGGACAAACATCCATGCCTTAAGTGGGACTCGAACTCACTGTCCCAGCGGCCAAGCGCACGAGGTTCATGCCTCAGACCGCTTGGCCACTGCGGCCGCCAATGAAGGGCTATAAATAATTAAATACGTGTAATAAACTATATACTTTACCACTAAATTTTAAAAAATCATAAGAAATATTTTCCGTCATAAATGTTTGTTACAATTCTGCCGTACTCACAGCCGCCATATCGCGGTGATACAGCACCGACGAATTTAAATAACTTAAATACCTTGTCGAAGGCAATTTGCCAGGTAAGGAGGCTTGCGTGCTCAAATGACCCTCAGGGCTATACCGGCCGGAGGTTCGGCTCATGGTAGGGTCACCCAAGCCGGAAAGGTCTAAGGCGATGCGCCAGACTAAGAGTGATACCCTGGTCCTCCAGGTTGGGGGTTGGGCGTAAGGCTAACAAACTTTCACCGTAAAAAAGCATCGTTACGAAAAAATTAACTAAGCCTCGGACCAGAACGGACTCTTTGGCACGACCAAGGCAACTTAAAAAGGATATGAAATTTGGTACATGGAACATTAGGAGTCTGTATAAGGCTGGGGCACTGAAATCAGTGAGTAGGGAATTAGAAAATTATAAGTTAGACTTAGTGGCAGTGCAGGAAGTGCGATGGGAGGGGGTAGGGCACAATCCCAGTGGAAAATTCTTTTCTTTTTTTTTAAGCACGAATGGATGGGACAAGAGGTGTTCACCGGGTATTGGTTGGGAGGCCTGAGGGGAAGAGACCGCTGGGAAGACCTAGACGTAGATGGGAGGATAATGTCAGGCGGGATCTATGGGAGATAAGAGTTGAAGGAGACTGGATTTTATTGGCCCAGGACAGGGTCCGGTGGAGGGCTTTGGTTAATTCGGTGATGAAACTTCGGGTTCGGTAAGCCATCTAGTTAGTTAGTTAGGAGACATAAGAAATAGAACATAACATAACAATTAAAGGCGCCAGTTCTTTGCCTGGTTATTGTCCAAATAAACTGTAAGGACACGATAAAACCGTTTATTCATTATAAGTCTTATGAATATATATCCAGGACAATCGAAAATTCACGCAACACATTCCTCCTGACACATACTATATTTGTCAATAAATAAATTGCACTGAAATCAGAAAAGAAGAGAAAAACAATAACATAGTAAGTGCTGAAATGCCCACCGCATTCAGCGATGCATGCATTCATTCTTATCCTCACGTTGGATGCGAAACGGGAAATAAATTCTGAAATGACGTTTGAAGTGCATAGTTCAGTATTTTGTTTGGATTTTCCAAATATGTGCAGATTGTTTTGTGCGAGTTTTAATTCAAAATCCGCAGGATATAAATTCTGTGGCGACAAATCCGGAAATCGAGGAGGCCAAAAATTTCGAGAAATAATAAAACCACCAAAGAACTCACTGAACATCTGCATTGTTCAATATTCTGTGAGCGCAGTAACCGCATTTTGCTTAAAACATCAGTCTTGTTAGTCAACTTCCGTAAGGGAAATTAAATTCATAATCAATTCCTGGTAAAGTTCCGCTATTATTGCCTCACTGAAGAAAATATGACCAATTATTCTCCTCCGAGAGACAGCAAAACATACACTGACTTTAAACAAATATAACAGTCCTTCATGGAAGTTATGCAGATTTTTAGCATTCCACATTCTGCTGTTCTAGCTTTTTATCTATTCACCTAGGTGGAGCCATGCTTCATCACGACAGAAAACTTGAAGTGTGAACTACAGAACTAAGTGTGCGAACCACCCGTAATACTGAAGTCTTGCCTTACCAAATTCCTTGAGTTCGTGAATGGCATGTTCATGATACGGTTGAAGTTTTAAAATCTTTGTAGTCTAATGTACACTTCCGTAAGATAATCAACTCTGAAGAGAAAGTTTTCTCAATGACTTTTCATGGAGAGCTTAACAAAGTTTGACGATATCGTCCAAACTATCGCTACTTAATACCGTCCTGCATGCTTCCTGTCATGAAAACGGTTCACGAGACGAGATACTGTCGATTTCCTTGGTACTGGAAAATCGGAAAATGTATCCTTAAACTCATTCTGAAAAGTAAGAACAAGATGCCGGGTAGTGTTCTACGAATATTCGTTGCATTTGTGAAATAGACATTCTTGCACTTACACTGTCTGAAAACAGCTGACGGACTAGCGCCAGTAGGTTACAAAATGACGTGATCTGCGTGGGCCAGTGTACAGTCACTGCGATATTTTTTATTTCCCCAGTAGAATTCTATTGAACTGCAACCGTCAATAAATATTTTAATAAGAGTTTGGTGACTTTTCGATCACTCTGTATATTCCCGATGGCCAATTTTCTATTTCAACAGTAGCGGCTGAAAACAATGATCGTGGTATGCATTAAATAATTGCTAAGAAGCAAAATAACGGTGTACATAAACCACTTTAGCACTGAAAAGTCGACTGGGATCACAAAGACATCAGATTAGAAAACGAGAAAAACAAATAACACTTTATATTTTTATATATATATATGCGTGAATGTGTTTAATTATCTAATACTATGCATGTAATTACTACGTCGTCTTGAAAGAATCAAATCCAAATCACAAAAATATCCTCAGGAGAGTTTCTGACATAAGACTTGTGCCTATCACTACGCTACAAAGGAGTAAAAAAAAGTAGATATAAAACTCCACCCACTTTTGCTGGCCACAACGATGAGAGGTTAGTTTTACGCTTCGTCCACTTATGGGTTGGGAAACTGAGTTGGTGCTATGGTCGTAAAGAGAAATATTCCAATAGCACTACGTCAATTCATAGGTTCTGAGATTCTCACTACAGCGAGTATGAAAAACATTAAAAATTATAAGAGGAAATATGGCAAGACTACGACAAACGTGGTATGAAAACGAAAATACATCAAACCAAAATTTAAAACCATCCTATCCAGGAACTCCGTGCAGGAGCAATACGAAATATTACCTTCTCTAACATACCCGTCTTCTGATAGCCCATCAGTGACTTAAGAATAAAGCCTTAAAACAGAGTCAAGGAAGTACTCGGAAAATATTGTCAAGTAAAACTGACCTTCCTTGAAAGTTTATAATTTCCAGGCTGATAAGGGGGTTCAAATTCGGAGATGACCATCAGCCAACCTAGTTTGGAAATTTTCTCTGTAGTTTTACGG